CGTCTGGCGAGAGATATGCCGCAGGTTTGCTTTGGAGGCGTGCATGTGGTCTTGTCCGGCGACCTCTTTCAGCTGCCACCACCCGGAGGCCTCCCGTCCTTCCACAGCTACCTGTGGAACATGTTTGAGCTGTGCGAGCTCGAGGGCAACCAACGAGCGGCGAAGGACCCGAGGTGGGCAGCACTCCTGGCCCGCGTGCGGATAGGGAAGTGGACGGAGGAGGACATCCAAGAGCTGTGCGGCATGGTGGTGACGAAGAAGGGCGGCAAGCAGCCTGCTCCCAAGGCAGTGCACCTGTATCCCACCCGCCAGGCGGTCAGGCAAAGCAACCGGCAGTACATGGAAGACCACATCCACAGGACCAAGACTCGTCTGTACGAGTGCCCTGCCGTGGATACCAGCCTCAGCACCGGGGCGCCACTATCCGCGGACGCAGCGTGGGCCGAAGAGGAGAACACCGGAGGATTGGCGGCGCTGCTTCAGCTTGCGGTCGGCGTCCGTGTCATGCTCAAACGCAACCTGGACGTACAGGACGGCTTGGTCAACGGGGCCTGTGGCTTCGTCGAGGAGATTGAAGCGGACGAGGAAACGGGCGAGGTCGACAACGTCTGGGTCGCCTTCGAGAAGAACGCCGGCGCCAAGTGGCTGGCAGAGAATCAGTGCGACCACGTTGCGATTTCCCGCATGTCGGTAAGCTTTTTCGACAAAGATGGCAAGAAAGCATCCAGGCTGCAGTTCCCGCTCGTCCTCGCCAAGGCCACCACCATCCACAAAAGCCAAGCGGCCACCTTGCACGACGGCGCCCACTCGCGCCTGGATGCAACATGCAAACAGCCAGGTCAGGCTTATGTGGCTCTGAGCCGATGCCCAAGACAATCCCTCTGCACCTTGGAGCTCTTCAACCCCAAGGCGCTTTGCTTTAACGAGCACGCCGACTGGGCACTGACCACATTGAAACTCCAGCAGGCCGAAAGAGAGGGATCTCCGTTGTGGAACCAACTCTTCAGGCCCCCTGACAGCAAGGATTTCTACAAGGCCCGCCTGGCCCAGATGGGCGCCCCAGATTGGGCCGCGATGAAGAAGGGCTTGGAAGAGTCGGCGCTGCCTTGGTGCTGTCCGCAATGTGGCAAGGAAGTCCCTGACAACAAGGCCGACATCAAGCAACACCAGAAGCATTGCACAGCCAAAGCCCACCGCAGAACCAGAGGCAGGAACGCAGAAACCAAGGCCAAGGCTGCAGCCAAGGCCAAAGCCAAGCGCACGGCAACCGCCAAAGGCAAAGTCCACAGCAAAGCCAAAGCAGGGGCAGGCAGCAGCAGCCTCAGCGGGAAGCGTGGGGCAGGCGAGTCAACAGCTGTGAAGCATGGAAGCAGTCCAGAACAACATGGAGAGCAGCAACTAGAATCAGAAGGAGTACAGCAGCTCGAGGGAGTCGCCTGCTATTTCGAGAGGCAGGAGGAGCTCAGGTGCGGCATCCATGCGCTCAACAATGCCTTGGGCGCTTGCCACTTCGATGTCGTCGACCTCGAAGCGGCAGCAGCAACGTTCCTCGAGGAGAATTGGGAACTCGCAGATGACCCAAGCCTGCACCTGGGTCCTGGAGGCGACTATTCCATTGAAGTGCTCCTGATGGCCGTGCGGACCAAGGCCATGCAGGCCTTCGACCGTCTCTGCTGGGAGATGTCAGACAGGCGAGCCCTGTGCAGTCAGGATCTGTGCGGATGCCTGGGCGCTATACAAAACCACGAAGGCCGGCACTGGGTTGCTCTCAAGCATACAGGAGACGACCAGTTCCTCTACTTGGACTCCCTGAAGCAGGGACCGACTTTGCTCTCCCGCGCTGAACTGGAAGCATCCCTCCGGCAACACCCGACATACTCAATTCGATCAATATGAGAGGAAAGTGGCAGCAGCTAGCAGCTGCAAAGTCCCAAGACAAGTGTGTCGGTTGCATCCATGGCACCAGCGCCGTGCGTTGCTGCTACTAGCCGCACCAGCACAGTCCAGCAGCGGCAAAACCAAAATGTATGAGCGACCCGAGTTCATGCACGCCTCATGAGAAATGTCTTGTGCTGCTAGACATGACCTCACAGACCATGTCATGTCAAACGCACAGATCTCATGCTTGAAAAGACACATATTCATGTCTGCTTACCGCAGATGTTTCGTGAGTGCTCAAATGGGATTGGCGGGCTTACAATGGTAGAATGTCACCAGGCGCACAGCTGAGAAATCCTATCTTCCTGCAAAATTATATTTCACGTGCATGCTCCAGGAGGTCGACAACAACCTACCGTGACAGCTGGATCCTGAGCGCTTTGGCAGCAGTCAATCCGAAAGCCCCAGAGCAGGCTTAACAGTCTGGGAGAAGCTCGAAAACAGCAAAAGGCTCAACACCGAGAAAATGATCCTTGCAAAGCAACTAGCCAAGCCAGGACACCCGCCAGGGGGGGTTGGGGGGGGTTAGGGGGGGGAGGGGGGGGGCAGGGGGGGGGCAGAGGGGGGGCAGAGGGGGCCCAGGCTGCCAAATGTTGGAAAAAGCCTTTGTTTCGAAGCAAAACCAAAAAAAAACTGCACAAAACCCGCCCAAAACCTCGGACCTAAACCCTATACAATTTCTATAAACCCTAAACCCTAAACCCTAAACCCTAAACCCTAAACCCTAAACCCTAAACCCTCAAGAAAGTGATAAATAGAAATTGCTTGTCCTTGTTTGTAACCACCGCTAAGGCCCAGCATTTCGGTTAAAACTGGCGTTAGCTTCTTGATAAACCAATTTCGCACAACCACAATCTCAACCATTCACTCAGCCCAGCCAACTCAAAACAGCCACCCGATCATAAACGGAACAAGCTTCTTGATAAACCAATTTCGCACAACCACGACCTCAACTTCTAACTCAGCCCAGCCAGCCAAGCCAACCCGGTCCAGCCCAGCCCAGCCCAGCCCAGCCGGCCCAACACACCGATTAAAAATTGAGTAAGCATCTTGATAAACCAATTTCCCCACAAACTTGTAACCACCATTACGGCCCAACACGCCGCTTAAAATTGAACAAGCTTCTTGATAAACCAATTTCTCCATAACCTCCAACCCAGGCCCACCTTCCCAGACCCCAAATCCAAAGCCCAAATCCAAACCCCAAATCCAAATCCCAGACCCAAATCCAGGCCCAGCCCCCAAATCCAGGCACACCTTTCGTTCAAAATGTTTCGGTGAAAACGTTTCGGTCAAAACGTTTCGGTCAAAACGTTTCGGTCAAAACGTTTCGTTCAAATCGTTTCGTTCAAAACGTTTTTAGGACCCAAACCCTTATTCGCAAAAGACCAGCCCCAGCCCCGGCCCCCGCCCCAGCCCCAGGACGGTCGAAACGTCTCGCTCCAGAGTTTCGTTCAAAACGTTTCGCAGCCCCCCAAGAGATTTGGAATTCGTTCAAAACGTTTAGGCGAAACGTTTCGTTCAAAACGTTTTTGGGACCCAAACCCTTAACAATTTCTATATGGAGTCTGAGTGGACGTTATCATGGTTGGCCCATTGGATGCTATGCGGGAACGGATGGAGTCTGAGTGGACGTTATCATGGTTGGCCCATTGGATGCTATGCGGGAACGGATGGAGTCTGAGTGGACGTTATCATGGTTAGCCCATTGGATGCTATGCGGGAACGGATGGAGTCTGAGTGGACGTTATCATGGTTGGCCCATTGGATGCTATGCGGGAACGGATGGAGTCTGGGTGGACGATATCATGGTTGGCCAATCGGATGCTATGCGGGAACGGATGGAGTCTGAGTGGACGTTATCATGGTTGGCCCATTGGATGCTATGCGGGAACGGATGGAGTCTGAGTGGACGTCATCATGGTTGGCCCATTGGATGCTATGCGGGAACGGATGGAGTCTGAGTGGACGTTATCATGGTTGGCCCATTGGATGCTATGCGGGAACGGATGGAGTCTGCGTGGACGTTACCATGGTTGGCCCCTGGGCTGCTTGCAACGCGTGCGAGAACGCCTTGATGGTGGGAAGAAAAGCGGGAACCAACATCTGCAGACATGTGCAACCACTGCAAGACATGTGCAAGAAGGAGCGTGGAAGCTCAAGATGAAGAAGGGCAAGGACAAGGCCGGGAGGGTTTATCATCAACCAATATGGGTTTCCAAGTCGTGGGGTCTCAAGCTGCAGAAGCGCAACGACAAGGCCGGGAGGGTTTATCCTCAACTAGTATGGGTTTCGAGGCAAGGACAAGGCCGGGAGGGTTTATACTCAACCAGTATGGGTTTCCGAGGTGCGGAAGCTCACAAGTCGAAGAAGACAGAGGCAACGGCAAGGCCGGGAGAGCTTATCCTCAACCGATGTGGGTTTCCGGGGTGTGGAAGCTCCAGCCGAAGAAGACAGAGGCAGGGACAAGGCGGGAAGGCTTATCCTCAACCGGTATGGGGTTCCGAGGTGTGGGAGCTCAAGCCGAAGGAGACAGAGGCAAGGACAATCCAGGGTATGGAAGCTTGAGCCTCAACCAATGCGACAACTGAGAGGGCTTATCCGGAGAGCTTTTCCTGAAGGTATGCAGTTCAGGAGCTAGCCGACCTTCCCCCTCCCCCTCCCTCCCCCTCCCATGCCCTATTGACGGCCTTTTCCGCCCCTTCCACAGTTGGCAGGGTGGCACGAATTCTCAGGGAAGGTAGTGGCAGAAATCAATGGGGTGCGGGGTCTTCCTCCCCTCAACAAAAATGGGGCGTTGGTTCCCGCCCCTCCCGCCCCCCCCCCACCCTCCCCCCCTCCCTCCCCCTCCCCACCCGGTGCCTCCTCCGGAGGGTGGCACGAGTCTCACGGGGGGTAGTGGGCAGACACCAAAAAACAATCCTCAACTAAAATGGTGTGGGGTTCCTCCCGCACCCCTCCCCACCCCCTCCCCCTCCATCCGCTCTGCCCCTCCCACCCCCTTCCCACCCCCCTCCCCTCCCAACCCGCTCACTTAGACCGCAACCAGCGTGGAGTGCCAGGTGCGTATCCTCAAGAAGAAAAAGGCCGGGAGCGGGAACGAAGCCGTGCAGGCTCGCCTGCATGGTGTCCCAGGTACGTGGTCCCAACCCCAAGAGGTCCCAGGTGCGTGGTCTCAGTCGAAGAAGGCGGAGGCAGGGACGAGGCCGGAGCACTTATCCTCACCCAATATGGGGTCCCAGGTGCGTGGTCTCAGCCCGAAGAAGGCGACGAGGCCGGAGCGCTTATCCTCAACCAATATGTTCCAGGCGCGTGCTCGGAGGCGGGAGCGCTTATCCTCAACCAATATGGGGTCCCAGGTGCGTGCTCTCGCGGACCAGGCCGGCGCAATATGGGGTTCCAGGCGCGTGGTCTCAGCCCGAAGAAGGCGGAGGCGGGGACGAGGCCGGAGCTGGGGTCCCAGGTGCGTGCTCGGCAGGGACGAGGCCGGAGCGCTTATCCTCAACCAATATGGGGTCCCAGGTGCGAAAGCGGAGGCGGGGACGAGGCCGGAGCGCTTATCCTCGACCAACGTGGAGTCCCAGGTACGCGATCTCGGCCCGAAGAAGGTGAAGGTGGGGACGAGGGCGGAGCACTTATCCTCAACCGATATGGGGTCCTAGGTGCGTGCCCTACCGCAGCGTGCATCAGTGCCAGGTGCTTGAAGCCAGAAGAAGGCGAGCTTCAAGAGGAGGCGACAACAAGCTCGAAGGACTTACTCTCAGAATACGTTCTCGGCGCGTGGTCTCAACCTGAAGAAGACAGAGGCGGCGACAAGGCCGGATCGCCTATCCTCAACTGTCATGGGTTCCCAGGTTCGTGGTCTGGAGAGAACAGAAGCCGAGACCAGGCCGGAGTGCCTATCCTCAATCAATATGGGGTCCCAGGTGCGCGGTCTCAACTTGAAGAGGATGGAGGCGGGAACCAGGCCGGAGCACTTCTCCTCAACCAAAACCGGGTCTGAGGTGCGTGGTCTCAACTCGAACAGGACGGAGGCGAGGAGAGGCCGGAGTGCCTATCCTCAACCAAGATAGGGTCCCAGGTGCATGGTTTCATCTTGGAGAAAAGAGAAAGGACGAGGCCTCAACCAATATGAGGTCCGAGGTGCGTGACCCCAGCAAAAAGACGACGGAGGCAAGGACAAGGCCGGGGTTCGAAGTGCGTGGCCCCAGGAAGCTCAAGCTGAAGAAGACAGAGGCAAGAACGAGGCCGGGAGGGCTTATCCTCAACCAATATAAGTTTCCGAGGCGTGGAAGCTCAAGATGAAGAAGGGCAAGGACAAGGCCGGGAGGGTTTATCATCAACCAATATGGGTTTCCAAGACGTGGGGTCTCAAGCTGCAGAAGCGCAATGACAAGGCCGGGAGGGTTTATCCTCAACTAGTATGGGTTTCCGAGGTGTGGAAGCTCACAAGTCGAAGAAGACAGAGGCAAGGACAAGGCCGGGAGGGTTTATACTCAACCAGTATGGGTTTCCGAGGTGCGGAAGCTCACAAGTCGAAGAAGACAGAGGCAACGGCAAGGCCGGGAGAGCTTATCCTCAACCGATGTGGGTTTCCGAGGTGCGGAAGCTCACAAGTCGAAGAAGACAGAGGCAACGGCAAGGCCGGGAGAGCTTATCCTCAACCGATGTGGGTTTCCGGGGTGTGGAAGCTCCAGCCGAAGAAGACAGAGGCAGGGACAAGGCGGGAAGGCTTATCCTCAACCGGTATGGGGTTCCGAGGTGTGGGAGCTCAAGCCGAAGAAGACAGAGGCAAGGACAATCCAGGGTATGGAAGCTTGAGCCTCAACCAATGTGGGTTGCCGAGGTGTGTGGTCTCAGCGACAAGGCTGAGAGGGCTTATCCGGAGAGCTTTTCCTCAAACAAAACAGGAACCTGAAGGTATGCAGTTCAGGAGCTAGCCGACCTTCCCCCTCCCCTCCCTCCCCCTCCCATGCCCTATTGACGGCCTCCCTTCCAGAGGTGGCAGGGTGGCACGAATTCTCAGGGAAGGTAGTGGCAGAAATCAATGGGGTGCGGGGTCTCCCCCCCGCCCCCCCTCCCCCGCCCTCCTCCCCCCCCTCCTGGGCCGGGAGGGTAGTGGGCAGACACCAAAAAACAATCCTCAACTAAAATGGGGCGTTGGTTCCCGCCCCTCCCCGCCCCCCTCCCCCACCCTCCCCCCCGAGGAGGTGAGCGCTGATTATCCTCAACCAATGTGGGGTCCCAGGTGCGTGGTCTCAGTCGAAGAAGGCGGAGGCAGGGACGAGGCCGGAGCACTTATCCTCACCAATATGGGGTCCCAGGTGCGTGGTCTCAGCCCGAAGAAGGCGACGAGGCCGGAGCGCTTTTCCTCAACCAATATGTTCCAGGCGCGTGCTCGGAGGCGGGAGCGCTTATCCTCAACCAATATGGGGTCCCAGGTGCGTGCTCTCGCGGACCAGGCCGGCGCAATATGGGGTTCCAGGCGCGTGGTCTCAGCCCGAAGAAGGCGGAGGCGGGGACGAGGCCGGAGCTGGGGTCCCAGGTGCGTGCTCGGCAGGGACGAGGCCGGAGCGCTTATCCTCAACCAATAAGGGGTCCCAGGTGCGAAAGCGGAGGCGGGGACGAGGCCGGAGCGCTTATCCTCGACCAACGTGGAGTCCCAGGTACGCGATCTCGGCCCGAAGAAGGTGAAGGTGGGGACGAGGGCGGAGCACTTATCCTCAACCGATATGGGCTCCTAGGTGCGTGCCCTACCGCAGCGTGCATCAGTGCCAGGTGCTTGAAGCCAGAAGAAGGCGAGCTTCAAGAGGAGGCGACAACAAGCTCGAAGGACTTACTCTCAGAATACGTTCTCGGCGCGTGGTCTCAACCTGAAGAAGACAGAGGCGGCGACAAGGCCGGATCGCCTATCCTCAACTGTCATGGGTTCCCAGGTTCGTGGTCTGGAGAGAACAGAAGCCGAGACCAGGCCGGAGTGCCTATCCTCAATCAATATGGGGTCCCAGGTGCGCGGTCTCAACTTGAAGAGGATGGAGGCGGGAACCAGGCCGGAGCACTTCTCCTCAACCAATATCGGGTCCGAGGTGCGTGGTCTCAACTCGAACAGGACGGAGGCGAGGAGAGGCCGGAGTGCCTATCCTCAACCAAGATAGGGTCCCAGGTGCATGGTTTCATCTTGGAGAAAAGAGAAAGGACGAGGCCTCAACCAATATGAGGTCCGAGGTGCGTGACCCCAGCAAAAAGACGACGGAGGCAAGGACAAGGCCGGGGTTCGAAGTGCGTGGCCCCAGGAAGCTCAAGCTGAAGAAGACAGAGGTAAGAACGAGGCCGGGAGGGCTTATCCTCAACCAATATAAGTTTCCGAGGCAAGGACAAGGCCGGGAGGGCCCATCCTCAACCAACATGGGGTTCCGAGGTGTGGAAGTTCAAGCTGAAGAAGACACAGGTAGGGACAAGGCCGGGGGGGGGCTCATCCTCAACCAGTATGGGTTTCCGAGGCGTGGAAGCTCAAGCTGAAGAAGGGCAAGGACAAGGCCGGGAGGGTGTATCATCAACCAATATGGGTTTCCAAGACGTGGGGTCTCAAGCTGCAGAAGCGCAACGACAAGGCCGGGAGGGTTTATCCTCAACTAGTACGGGTTTCCGAGGCGTGGAAGCTCACAAGTCGAAGAAGACAGAGGCAAGGATAAGGCCGGGAGGGTTTATACTCAACCGATGTGGGTTTCCGGGGTATGGAAGCTCCAGCCGAAGAAGACAGAGGCAGAGACAAGGCGGGAAGGCTTATCCTCAACCGGTATGGGGTTCCGAGGTGTGGAAGCTCAAGCCGAAGAAGACAGAGGCAAGGACAATCCAAGGTATGGAAGCTTGAGCCTCAACCAATGTGGTTGCCGAGGTGTGTGGTCTCAGCGACAAGGCCGAGAGAACAATCCTCAACTAAAATGGGGTGTGGGGTCTTCCCCCCGCCCCCCCTCCCCCTGAGCGCCCTCCCCCCTCCTCCTGGGGCGGGAGGGTAGTGGGCAGACACCAAAAAACAATCCTCAACTGAAATGGGTGTTGGTTCCCACCCCTCCCCGGCCCCCTCCCCCACCCTCCCCCCTTCCCTCCCCCTCCCCACCCGGTGCCTCCTCCGGGGGGGTGGCACGAGTCTCACGGGGGGTAGTGGGCAGACACCAAAAAACAATCCTCACCCCTCCTCCCCCCCCCCCTCCCCACCCGGTGCCCCCTCCGGAGGGTCCCCCCGCTCCCTCCCCTTCCCTCCCTCCCTTCCCTCCCCCGAACCCCGCACCGCAAGGCAGTGACCTCCCCACCCTCGCGGGGGAGCACACATGTGTGTGCGGGGGAACACACACGTGTATGCGGGGGAACACACATGTGTGTGCGGGGGAACACACATGTGTGTGCGGGGGAACACACATGTGTATGCGGGGGAACACACATGTGTATGCGGGGGAACACACACCTGTGTGCGGGGGAACATACATGTGTGTGCGGGGGAGCACACATGTGTGTGCGGGGGAACACACATGTGTATGCGGGGGAACACACCTGTGTGTGTGGGGGAACACACATGTGTGTGCGGGGGAACACTACCTGGAAAGCTAGAAGCCTGTAGTGGTGTTCCACTGTTACAGCGCCAGCAGCTCAAGGGTCTAGGTCCTAGGCCCCCATTCTTCGACACACTGTCCTTTGCCGTCTGGCTTACTTTGTTTGCGAAGGCGAAGTGTCTGAACAACATGCAATCCCAGTAGATTCGTCGCCATGCCTCGCTATTGCCATGGCTTCGAGGATCCATCAGGAGACGGAGCCCGACCATGCATTTTCTCGCAAGATGGTAGAGGTGGACCTGCGCAAACCAGCAACAAGAGCTGCGTACTGTGCAGTCTGGAAAGCCTAGAACTCGCTCTTGGTTCTCGTGTGGCCAGAGGCAATTTGATCAGACAGCTGAAGCACTGGCGGCAAGTCGGGTCGCCGACATATGAAGCGGCATTTGGGTTGGGATCATTGTGTGTGCTATCTGCCAGCGAGCAATGTGGCTTGCGGGCAAAGGCCGGAGAGCGTCCCAACTTCAAGCCATCCAGCAGTTGGTTGCATAAGAAGCAACGGCGCCTGAGGCAGTTCTTGCTCGGCCGAGCAATCCCGCGGACGAGCCTGAGCACCCGCAGCCGAAAATATGTGCAGTCTGCATCAAGCCAGCGCAGTGGTGGCCAAAGCTGGATTCTTCACTATTACTATGTGCACAATCGCAAGATGGCACATCGTCTTGCCACTGCGTTAAAGAAAGTCGCAGGTGGTACAGTTTGGAAGGGGAAGAAGGCGTCGCTGAGAGGATACCGCCAAAGATGGTGGCGAGCTCGGAGGGAACTGAGACGAAGATATTCTGAGCTGATGGCTATGGCTGAAGGGCCTCTTTTGAGCTGCAGAGCCGCGAAGTGGGCAATCGAAGAGGATATACTGCAAGCTGGCTTTCGAGTGCCTCTATCTGACAGGATGTCATGCCAGAATCATCCGCAATGGAGATTCTTGGCTGAAACCGGTCACATCCTTTACTTCCAGAGTCCGCATGAAAGTCTGGATTTCGCACAGAAACAGTTGGCGAGTGCGACGTGCTCCATCAACAACGCACTGGGCAGACCCACGTGCGACATCACTTTGCAGACGGCCCAACGCCTATTGAAGGCACGCGGTTCTGAACATGATTGGCGCATGTGTGTGAAGCGGGATGGCAAGATACTGTCTCCTTTCGCCGTTGGCTGTGCCCTGGAACAGATTGGTTTCAAATTGCAGTATTGTTCTGACCCAAGCATTTGGCCAGCTGGAGCACAGAGCCTGCTGCAAATCCGTGGCGACCAGAATTCTGGTAATGAGCATTGGGCTGCTTTGACATCCTGTGATGGCCGAATATATGTGTTAGATTGCTTCCAAGGCAAGCCTGAGCTGGTCATGAATTGGCACCCAGACTTGCAACCTTGCGAAACCTACGCGGTGCTCCGGCTTGGAGCCTGAAGCCTGAAGTGTCACCAAAACGAGCTTGGCTCATCGTGCAGACAGCTGTGTGCTCGTTCTAGTTTGAATTCTATGCACTCGCTCAGCACTGGCTCATGTAAACAGTCTTGCCTTGCTGACGCGGCTTTGATGAGGGTTGGGTAATTCGATTGGCAACCGATGCTTTCGAGCCGGTGGTCCACGTCAGGAGCCACCGCACATCCATCAGCAGCGAAAGGAGATGCCAAGCAGGCTCGAAGCTGAGGGGGCACACATCTAACAGTCATGACGCTGCCGCAACATGTCGACACAACCGTCCACAGTAGTATCCGAGCCACTTTTGTGCTTTTTCTTGCTGGTGCTCCTAAATACACTTGTTGGCACACCTTGCCAAGTCCTTGATCCTTACTAGTCGCGCCTGGGGGCCCCTTGCACGTAGTAGCTAGTAGTTAGTAGCCATTCGTTGCAATCGAAGCAGCCTGCATTGTGGAGGCCGTTCATATCGCCAAGAACAACATTCGGATCTTGCAATAGCTGGCCTAGCCAAGCGCCCAACAGCCCAGCCCCCAGCCCAGCCCAGCCCAGCCCACCCAGCCCACCCAGCCCCGCCTGGTCCAACCCAGCCCACAGCCCAGCCGCCAACGCGAGCCTTCAGCCCTTCCCAGACCAGCCCAGCCAGCCCAGCCCAGAGCAGGACAAAACAGCCCAGCCCAGCCCCTTCCAGGTAGCCCAGCAAGCCCAGCCCAGCCCAGAGCTCAGCCCAGACCAGCAAATTGAAAATGTGGCAAAGAACTTTCGGTCAAAACGTTTCGTTCAAAAGTTTCGTTCAAAACGTTTCGTTCAAAACGTTTCGCTCAAAACGTTTCACTCAAAACGTTTTTGGCGCCCAAGAGCCCAGCCCCCCAACAAATTTGAAAACATGGTTCGCAAAAAGAAACTCTTTTGGGCACCGGCCAACCCTCCACCTCTTGCACAAGAGCGGAAGGTTGCCCGACCTCGAAAAACTTCCCGGGAAGTTTTTCGAGGTCGGACAACCTTCCGTTCTTGTGCAAGAGGTGGAGGGTTGGCCGGTGCCCCAAAAAGTTATTGGGACCCAAACCCTTAACAATTTCTATAAACCCTAAACCCTGAACCCTCAAGAACAGGATAAATAGAAATTGTTTGATCTAACGTGCATGGCCCCATCAATTTTGCTCTGCTTTCAAGGTTTCACGAACAGAATGCAAGCACAGAAACGCAAGTTGAAGAAACAAAGGTGTTTCCGCACTGCTTCGACTGGGATTGTGCTTCCGGGAATTTGTCTCCGCGTTCGTGTGTCCGGGGCCAATTTATGCGTCCCCTAGGACACCCAAATTGCAAAAATAAGGGCTTTTTGGCCTGTTTTGCTGATTTTTGGAAATCCCCAAATGACAAAATTTTCGTGATTTTGAGCCAATTTGGGCTTTCAAAAATAAGGGCTATTTTGCGGATTTAGAAAATCGCCAAATTGCCAATGTTCGTGATTTGGAACCAAATTTGGCTTTCCCCAAGGACCTGCGAAAATGTACAAAATAAGGGCTTTTTGGCCCATTTTGCGGATGTGAAAATCGCCAAATGGCCAATTTTCGTGATTTGGAGCCAATTTGGGCTCTCCCAAGGGCTGCCAAAATGACCAAAAGATGGGCTTTTTGGCTTATTTTGCGGATTTGGGAAATCGCCAAATGGCCAATTTTCGTGATTTTGAACCAATTTGGGCTCTGCCAAGGGCTGCCAAAATTGCCAAAATTAAGGGCTTTTTGGCTTATTTTGCGGATTTGGGAAATCGCCAAATGGCCAATTTTCGTGATTTGGACCCAATTTGGGCTCTGCCAAGGGCTGCCAAAATGGCCAAAAGATGAGCTTTTTGGCTTATTTTGCGGATTTGGGAAATCGCCAAATGGCCAATTTTCGTGATTTTGAACCAATTTGGGCTGTGCCAAGGGCTGCCAAAATGGCTAAAATAAGGGCTTTTTGGCTTATTCTGCTGATTTGGGAAATCGCCAAATGGCAAATTTTCGTGATTTTGAACCAATTTGGGCTCTGCCAAGGGCTGCCAAAATTGCCAAAATTAAGGGCTTTTTGGCTTATTTTGCGGATTTGGGAAATCGCCAAATGGCCAATTTTCGTGATTTGGACCCAATTTGGGCTCTGCCAAGGGCTGCCAAAATGGCCAAAAGATTGGCTTTTTGGCTTATTTTGCGGATTTGGGAAATCGCCAAATGGCCAATTTTCGTGATTTTGAACCAATTTGGGCTCTGCCAAGGGCTGCCAAAATTGCCAAAATTAAGAGCTTTTTGGCTTATTTTGCGGATTTGGGAAATCGCCAAATGGCCAATTTTCGTGATTTGGAACCAATTTGGGCTCTGCCAAGGGCTGCCAAAGACCAAAATAAGGGCTTTTTGGCTTATTTTGCTGCTTTGGGAAATCGCCAAATGGCCAATTTTCGTGATTTTGAACCAATTTGAGCTTTCCCAAGGGCTGCCAAAATTGCAAAATAAGCGCTTTTTGGCCTATTTTGCGGATTTGGAAAATCGCCAAATCGCCAATTTTGTGAGTTTGAGCCAATTTGGGCTTTCCCAAGGGCTGCCAAAATAGCCAAAATGAAGGCTTTTTGGCATATTTTGCGGATTTGGGAAATCGCCAAATTGCCAATTTTCGTGATTTGGAGCCAATTTGGGTTTTCCCAAGGGCTACTGAGATGGCCAAACTTAAGGCATTTTGGCTTATTTTGCGGATTTGGGAACTCGCCAAATGGCCAATTTTCGTGATTTTGAACCAATTTGGGCTCTGCCAAGGGCTGCCAAAATTGCCAAAATTAAGGGCTTTTTGGCTTATTTTGCGGATTTGGGAAATCGCCAAATGGCAAATTTTCGTGATTTTGAACCAATTTGGGCTTTCCCAAGGGCTGCCAAAATAGCCAAAATAGAGCTTTTTGGCTTATTTTGCGGATGTTGGAAATCGCCAAATGGCAAATTTTCGTGATTTGGAGCCAATTTGGGCTCTCCCAAGGGCT